TGCCGTGCGAGCTGACATTGTTCCAACAACCGCGTCTGTCGCACGAGCTCCTCTGACAAAATCCGATTCTCGGCCTGCTCAGAGTTGAGTGCTTCCTTGACCTTCACCTGCTCCTTGGTGAGCTCGCCCAGTTTCTCATCCTTCATCTTCTCGGAGTGCTTGTAGAATTTCTTATTAAGCTTGTACTGTCCCCACAAGCACTCATGCTTCTCCTTCAAGTCCCTCAACTCCTGGTCCACTCTAGCTAATAGCTTGCTGGTGTGGACTTTAGTGCGAGTCCGCCTGCGCACTAACTCGATGTAAGATCCCGGCTGGAGTGGGTCGGCGTATTTATCGACCTTGCGATCCAAGTACCGCAGCAACGGAATCACCTGCTCAGAGAGCGCCGCCGCCGGCGCTCCAACAATTTCCTCCTCCTCCTCCTCGGTGTCTTCTGCTCCTGACATTTCTTCCGTGGAGCCTCCGTCGTCATCATCCGAGTGGAGAATTTCAGTCGCCATTGATTGCGTCGGCGACTGCCCCGAGTGGGGCTGCACGTCCTCGACGTGTGCTGCCTGCGAAGGCACGGCTGCAGCCTCGCTGCTCGTCGCCAAAATGTCTAAGGCGGAAGGCGAATGTATCCGAGCGGCATCCCCGTCGCTCGCTGGTTGATTGCCCACCGCATTCTCTCTGTCGCCGTCGTCCGTCGCCGAAGGCGATCGAGCGGAGGGTGGCTGCGCGGGGTTGGATTGCGCATCGCGCATCGAGATGTCGTCCCGCGGACAGTCACTCCGCTCCTCCGTCTGCTGCTCCCTCGATCGGTCCGTGGGGGCTGTGCCCGGCCCGTGCGCAGGCGCATGTGCCGGCGCCTTGTCCGCCGCAGGCGTAGCGCCGCGGACATCTATCGCCGAAGGCGACATGGCCGGGGGCCGCACGCCCGATGCTCCTTGGCCTATAGGCCCTACCGCCGAAGGCGCATCTATCGGCGGACTTCCCGCCGATGGTGCGGCCTCCGCACGCTCTCTGCTCGTATCTCCTCGGCTCGAAGGCCCTGGCGCCGAAGGCGCGAATCGCGGCGCGTGGTGCGCCGGTGGGTCTGGCCCCGAGGGCCGATGTCTCGTAGGCGGTTCTTCCGCCGGCTCCTTCCCCTTCCTGCGTTGGAACGGGGGTGATTCTTGCCTGTGCACAGGCGGCACGTGCGGAGGTGTTCTGTGCACAGGTGACCTGTGCACAGGCGACCTGTGCACAGGCGAACGCCTGTGCACAGGCGGACTGCTCCTTCCCACGCGTAAGCGTAGATCCACGTCCACTTGTGTTCGCCGGTCCGCGGAGGCTCGTCCGTCCGCGGAGGTTCGCCTGTGCGCAAACGGAACATCTGTCCGCATCGCACGTGGTAACTCCGGAGGCCCTTGGCCCGTAGGCGGCCTCTCTCCCGACGAGGTTGCAGCGTGGCCCGCTGCTCCTGCGGTCGTCCGCGCTTCCTCTCGTCTCTCTGGCGACGCACTTCCTATCTCCGTCGCAATCGTCGCCGTGTCTGCACTGTCAGCTGGCAACACCAGTCTGCGTGCCTTCTGCTTCGGCCGGCTGTATGGCTCGCACAGCGGCCGCGGTCGAATGGGAGCAGAGAGTTCTTGATGCTGCTCCTCTTCGGCCTCTTCCCTCCATCGCCGCTTCCGCGGCACTCGCGCCGCAGGGGTGTGTCTCCCTTCATCCCTCCGTCTTGATGGGGTAGAAGTCGGTGACTCCTCCGCATCAGTGTCGACCTCGTTCTCCCGCACATACTTCCCGGGATGGTCGATGGACAATGGCGGAAAATGTTCAAGCTCCGCCGCTGTCAAACAATTCCGCTGTCGATAAAAATTGATGAGGAAAGGAGAAAGATGGTTTAGCGTTCCCCCCTTCTCCTCAAACGCGTGCTGTCGCATCACTCTGTGCAGGATGCTCGCCCAGTGAATTGGAGTTCCCTCGATGACGCACTCCACAAAAGAGACCTGCCACAATGTGATGTAGCAGGCACGGTGCGGCTGCAGTAATTGCATCAGCGCCGCGGACAAAGTCCGGCGAAATCGATCTTTGTAATCACGGGTCCTGTACCCATTCTTGGTAGACCTCCCGGTCTTGAACAGCTCCACAAATTGCGCCTCTTCTTGCTTGGTCACCTTGATGCTCTCGCTGTCGAAAAGGAGATGCCCTGGCATGCCAGCACATCTTCCCAACGCCTGCGCCCAATCTTGGACTGTCCACCGGTCCACATGCGGACGCAATCCGCGCGAGGGTGGTCCCTGTGGCTCTAGCCACTCGCGCACCATATTCGCGCAGATGTAATTCCATCCCCATAGCAAGAAATCGAGCTTTCTTGCTATTAAGCGCTCCTCGAAAGCGCGCAGCCCGTTCTGCGGCAGGCGAAGTGGCACCATCCGCAATCTGCTCGGTCTCGTCATTGCGTTCCTGGGGTTCGCTCGCCCGCTCATTCTACTCCCACACTGTCCGCGTTTCTTTCTCTCTCGGCAAACTCTAATCGCTCTCAATTCCAAATCACGCGCACTCACTTCTCCCTCAATCAACAAGAGATCTCCTGTGTGACGACGACGAGAATGGTCCGCAGCCAGCAGATGGATGCGCGCAGCGCGCACAAGAGATTGGAATCGCGAATTCAAGAATGGGACGCTCTCCGCCGCCCGGTCGAAGGTCATGGTCGGCTCTTGGTCGTGAAGAACGTCTCACTTGATGGCCGCGCCGGCTGTACGCTGGAACGGTCTTCGCTCTCACGCGCGGCTTCACGCTCCGCCGTCGTCGATTAAACTCTCACGCTCGAATTGGCGGATTTGAACTCCGCGAGCATGTCACCCTCCGGACATGGGGGCGTAGCGCCGAAGGCGAGTTTTCCGCCTTGTGCGGTACACTTGTTCGTACCGCCCCTCGGCCAATCTCCTTCTGCCTTGACGCGTGCGTCCGCATGTCGGACAAAAATTCAACTCCTGCCTGTGCGCAGGCAGGGGCCTCGGCGGATTCTCCGCCGGCGCGGAACTTGAACATCCTCCTGTGCACAGGCGTTCGCCTGTGCGCAGGCGAATTCCGTCCGCGGCGCTGCGCTGGCGCGGAAGGCGTTGACCGTGGTTAGCCGTCTCCGTCCAGTCTGTCCGTTCCTTGTCTCTCCGTCGGCGCTTCCGCCGCCGCAACTCCGTCCGTCCAAGAGCGCATCCACCCGTGCCGTCCGCACGGTCCGTACCTATTGGATTACTCTGGCGGCTCTTCCGACGTACGCTGCGCTGCGCTGGCGCGGAAGGCGCCGTACACTTTCTACCTCACAAGGCGCATTTCTAGGGCCCAAGGCGGATTTCCCGCCGACGCCGAAGTGCCTGTGCACAGGCGAACGCCTGTGCGTAGGCGGACTTCGCGCCTTCCCTAACCCTACTTCGCCTGTGCACAGGCGAACGCCTTCGTCCGCGCATAGGACAAAACTTGAATCCCCCTTCCGCGCAGGCGGAATTCGCGCCGGTGGCGAAATCCTTCCGCCGGGGGCGACCGCCTCCGTTTCTTCCAGTAGCGATAACTCCCTAAGTCCTCGTCCGTTCCAAGCGTTCTTGGGCTCGTTGGAATCAGCGCGTCGAGCTCTTTCCAACGGGATCCTAACTTGGTCAAGGCGCCCGAGGGTTGACCTAATTACGGGGGTTTCCCTACAGCCGCGGACGCAACCTCCGAAGGCGGGTTTTGCGCCTTGCGCCGTAGAGATCCTAACTGCGGAGCTCGCAGGGAGGGTGGTGCCTGTCCTTACTGCGGCACCCCAAATCCCAGATTCTACAAGATCCCTCGAGAATCCCCGCGATCTTCCGGATTCACTCTGTTTTGATGTACCGAAGGCTATTTACAATGCTGCCAGGGTACAGTTTTCCAAAAATGTTTTAATTTCCTCAAAATTACCAAAAGTGGGGTACCACACATAGTCAACTTGGAGTTGCAATTCAAGTTTTCGATATCTTTGATTATTTCATATTGTTCTTCTTCAAGGGAGTAGCATCAGTAGAACTTCCATTGTAACTTAATCATATGCTATATGCTCGTTAGCTTCTTGTAATGAAAAATTAGAATCATGACATCAGGTCGGTTAATCAGCTCTATCTTGACTTCTATCATTTCAAAGATTAGGTAGATAACGAACCATTTCTGACCTGGTCGATATATACATCCATAGGCATGGAGCGAGTTTAGATTTATATCTAACCCTTTATAGCAATTTGTTTGTTAGATTATACTAATGCACCACTTTCATATATCCATGTATCATTTCTATATTTTAGAATCAAGAGTTTATGAAGTAATGTCATTGGGCATTGCACGCTTCTTCAAAATTGTCCAAATTAGACATTTTAAAAGTCAATTTTAAGCATGCTCTTTCTAAGTGCACATGTTTTAGATGGCTTAATAACAATATTTGGACCTGTAATGACCTTAATCTCTATATATTGTTGAAGAAGAACAGCCAGTTCAAGGCATTGAACTGCATGACCTCGATGCATTGAACTGCATCGAGGTCCACATGGTCTTTCTAGGTTGCAGTCATCTAAAGTAAAGCATGACTCAGATCATCAGAGAAGATCATATCAAGAACTCAAGCCATCATTTCACGATGGCGGACACGCACGTACTATGTGTTTGGCAAACTCTCCTGCAGCTGCATATAAGATACTCCGGATTGACCAAGAGATTGGGAATGGATATATTCTAGTCCTCCAATTTCTTAACGTTAGCCCACTAGTGGATATCTCCATGTTGTTTATTCATATGGTGGACACTGGACTTGACCTTTGACAAGGCTCCTCCTAGGGTCTTCCAGATCACAGACTATCAAGTTACTCAAGGGTGGTCCGATGAGCGGCGTCTCGACTGCATTTGTTTGTGAGTGAGATGTATAGTACAGCCCAGATGACAAGCCTAATCACAGTTGTAGAGAGGATTCCGGGATGAATTAAGAATGCTCGCCAATGATTTCCTTCATTCGAGAAATGCTCATGTGGGTCCCGATACTACCTTTTACATGTACCAATTTCAATAGTTTACACTGATCTCTCACGCAAGTTCAGAACTTGCGGTGCTATAAAAGGATCAGGAGTGATCGTTCAAAGCATATCTGCGATCTCATCGCTGGGATTGAGGGTGAAGAGTACTTCCTCCTATCTCGGATAGCCATCCTTATAGCAGGACTATCTCGAAGGCTAGAGAACACTTTAGATATCAGACCGAGTGCACTCCGCTCTCGATTTCCCGTATACAAAAAAAATATCTTCCTCGGAGTTTCTGGATCAACGGTTTTACGATGGGTCTCGACTTGAGGCCACGATCTCTGATTCATATTCTTGTCATCTCTCTTACAGCGTCAAGCATCATCAATGTCGCCCAGGGACAATCCACAGCAGACGAGTACCTCACTCCGCACAACGATGCCCGAGCTGGGCTGAATCAAGGCATACCGAGCCTGTCCTGGGACACCACGCTGGAATCGTATGCTACTGACTGGGCCGCCACCAGAGCAGCTGCTGGTGACGACTGCGCTCTCATACACTCGGGAGGACCTTACGGGGAGAACATCTACTGGTCCAGTGGACCGAGCACCCCAGCGGATGCAGTGCAGGCCTGGGTCAGCGAGGAGGCATATTACGACTACTCAACAAATTCGTGCTCGGCCCCAGAGGGCGAGTCTTGCGGTCATTACACGCAGGTCCCATGCAATTTCTTATCGTGATTTTCTTGCCTGGTGTGCGCGAAGTTGTTTTTCCATGGCTTTCCACCGTTGTTTGATTTTCAGAGATTTCTAGATCTTGCGAACTAACCACGAGCCCAGGACCTGTATCAGCATAAAGCTGTTCCCACAAGCTGTAAAAAAGATTATGGGCTTCATGCATTCTCTGGAAAATTATGAATGGGACGAGAAACTAGAATTCAATGTTTGTATCGCTGTTTTTTCCACGGCTGGGCATGAAGTCGATGTGATGAGCCTCGCGGGTTTTGACACGGGTCGCACTCTTTGCAACAGGTCGTGTGGAGGGACACTGCGGCGCTGGGATGCGGGTCGGCCACTTGTCCCTCTGGTGCCTTGTTCGTCGTTTGCAGCTACGACCCCCCGGGAAACGTTGTCGGTCAGCTTCCTTACTAGACTTGCTCTACGAATAGCTGCAGCCGTCGAGCGACTCCGAGTTTCATCTTTACTGAAGTGGTGGACATATACGACTGTAATCTCAGTACATTCAGCACATGCACATCAGTGGGCAGGGACGACAATTTCATAGGAGGACACTCCATCGCTGCCTGCCGTGAGGATGACAGAGAGTGTTGTGAGAATCGTGTCTCGGAATACAGCGCATTGTAACTGCTTCTATGCTGGCATAGTACTGACTGATATACTGTAGATGAGATTTTAAGCTGTGATAAATTAGTACAACCACTTTCAAGCATAAATCGAAACCCTGGTAGGGCATCGTGGTTGTATCTTGTTATCAGTCGTTGCGAGTAGGTAAGAGCAAACGTCGTCTCTACTGATAACGGAGTGGATTTCAGAAAGCTCAATTCGTAATAAAAACATTGGAGAAGGAGTTGCGATATATGTGAATCTTTTGTTTGGAAATCTGTATTGATCTTAATTAAAGAAGAAGTGCATGGAGACCTTGAAATCTCTGGCAGGAAATCAATTTTCAACTTAAATATAGACTTGCAGTCGAAAACGGATAAAGACAGGAGACTCAGTCATCTCACAATTACAGCGTTGATGCTCTCAGACATCAGTTGTTTGTAGACGTCATCAACGTGTGCATGCACGCCCCCTTTTACGATCAACTTTCATAATTTCTGCTCTACTATGTTTTTAGTGCTGGAGCCACACCAATCCACGATCTCCTTACAATAATTTCATACGTTTTCGAGCTATCACGATTGTGGCGTGCTAGACCAATATATTGAAGACTACTAAATGGAAGGTATGAATCCAAAGTCCAAGTGAGGCCTAATAAAGAATGTGCACTGGTATCTGAGAGGGACGTCATCCGAGAAGGCTCTTGGATGAATAAAATATATCGGGTAATCTGTGAATGATAATCATCACTGACAACGTAAGCTGATATTTGATACTCGTAGCTGCTCGAGCATTTGAGTTTAAAACATGGTGGTAGGCGCAGCAAATTTCTTGACCTGGGCAAAGGGCCTCCAAGACATGCAAATATACCTTATAAGATACCTGCAAGGGAGAACTGAAACGTTAATTTTACTTAACGTATAGCGAGAAGAGGAGGAAGTAGTATTCGGACCTCCATATCCACATGTGGAGAGTAGGCTGATAATATTTGGGCTCTGGATACGCCCGCTTGACCATCAACTGGCAAGAAAGAATTTATGAGCTTCTTAGAGGATTACTTTTGTTCAATGCCTACCGCCTGAGGACCAGGAGGTGGCATCTTGAACCAAGGGATCGGCCTCTTTGTGTTTGTGCTTATGTTTTAGCGTTGGCTCCAGCCACTCGCACACAGACTTGTCCAGGGTGGCTTGAACTATTACCCGATGCAGACGAAGCATGTTACCATCCAGTGTCACAAATCACACATACACAGACCACGTCCAGCTATCTTCTGGTTGCAGAATCTGAATGACGCCATGGTTGGGCGAACGATGACAAAACCAAAGCGAAGGTTGTTGTTTATTTTTGCCACTATTTTGAAGTAGAATTGTAATAACCCACCAAAGGCTAAAACTGCAGTATGGTGGTAAAAAGATCGAACCCACAGGGACAGAGGCAACACACAGAGTAAAAAGTGTCACGTTTAACAGACTTTTGTAGAGTTTGAATTCTCAGGCGACTGTCACTCCCAGAAATACTGCAGTGCTCGACTCGGAGGCTCGACTCGGAGGAGTATGCTCGACTCGGAGGATGCTCGGAGGATGCACAGTACAGCGTAGTCACTCAACACACACACACACACTTGAAACTGGCAAAAGCACAACTCGGAGGTCGGTCAGGACCTCCGCTTCGGATTTCAGGGGGAAAGTGTCTCAAAAGTTCACTCAGAGGTTCTGCAAGTAGTGACTACCACTCCGGCTTTTACTGCCCTTCCGCCAAGAACTAGCGTAGGGAACCCGGACTGGACTTCCCACTTCGGAACGAAGCCCCTTCATACGCCGTGGACGTCACCCTCGACTCACACCAACCGCAGGGGTACAGGCCCGACTGAGGACTTAACTGAGACACAATCCAGTAACACACACACAACCTGAATTGCAAACCAAGGCTTACACGAAGTAATAAAACTTCACTTTGGCATTCAGGGGAAACTTCCCGTAGGAGTACAATCAGGATATGTCACTCGAAGGAGTAAGGGGGAACTGTTCAAGTCTCTAACTCGCAACCGGCTCTGAGCATCAGAAATCACCCGCAGGTGCAGATCCGCACTACTCAAGTCTCTAACCGGGTGCTAGCTCTGAACATTCAGCCGAAGGCCTTCCACTACAACATACGGTAACTTCGCTATGCTGCAGCTTCTCTACGTGGTGCCAGGACCAAAATGCACAAACACGCCAAGAAAGTGAGTTCCTGATCTGCACTTCCGAAACTGGAAGAGTCCCAGGGCAAAACGCCTTGAACTACTTTATACTCTCTAAGGTCCTAACTAACACTACGCTACCCGCAAGGGTGCGAGCCGCAACAGATCCTACACCTGAGGAGTCGGCGGCTACCTTCCCCTCTAACTTACAACCTAAATCTAACCCTAACCCTAAATCTGAATCCTAAGCCTACTGTACAGAGCCGCCAGCGTCTTTACATCCGAGATCTGAGGCTGAATATTTGCAGGCATGCGTGGCAGACTGAGATCAACGGCCCCACCAAATTTCAGATCCATCTGACCGTCCATCGCAAAGATATGGACTCCGCAAGATCTCTGAACCGCATCCGGTTTGCCGACCTCGAGTTCGCCGAATCCGAGTTTGCCGACTTGAAGTTCGCCGACCTTGAGTTCGCCGACCTCAAGTTCGCCGACTCCGAGTTCTCCGAAGGCGTTGACCGCCGAAGACGCACTTCCGCACCTTTGCCTATTTGTAACAGTCACTCCCGACACCCATAACTCACAGATGCTTGATCCGTTTTAAGAGTTCTTAGGCTCGTTGGAACGAGCGCGTCAAGCTCTTTCTAACGAGACCCTAACTGAGTCAAACCGTTACGAGTTGAAAGAGTTATGCCGGTTTTATCCTTCGCCGAAGGCACACTGTCGAAGGCTTGTTATATGTTATCGCCGAAGGCGCCCGCACGATGTTTCGCCGACTCCGAGTTCTCTGACCTCAAGTTTGCCGACTCCGAGTTTGCTGACTTGAAGTTCGCTGACCTCGAGTTCGCCGACCTCAAGTTTGCCGACTCCGAGTTTGCTGACTTGAAGTTCTTTGACCTCGAGTTTGCCGACTCCGAGTTTGCCGACTTGAAGTTCTTTGACCTCGAGTTCGCCGACCTCAAGTTTGCCAACTCCGAGTTCTCCGACCTCGAGTTCTGTAATAACCCACCAAAGGCTAAAACTGCAGTATGGTGGTAAAAAGATCGAACCCACAGGGACAGAGGCAACACACAGAGTAAAAGTGTCACGTTTTAACAGACTTTTGTAGAGTTTGAATTCTAGGCGACTGTCACTCCCAGAAATACTGCAGTGCTCGACTCGGAGGCTCTACTCGGAGGAGGATCTCGACTCGGAGGATGCTCGGAGGATGCACGGTACAGCGTGGTCACTCAACACACACACACACACACACCTGAAACTGGCAAAAGCACAACTCGGAGGTCGGTCAGGACCTCCGCTTCGGATTTCAGGAGGAAAGTGTCTCAAAAGTTCACTCAGAGGTTCTGCAGGTAGTGACTCCCACTCCGGCTTTTACTGCCCTTCCGCCAGGAACTAGCGTAGGGTACTGTGGTAACCCACTTTTTGTTTTTCGTCGGAATTAGAACATTTTTGATTAGTAAGTACCGTGGTAGCAGCTGTAAATAGTAATCGGTACGCAAAGCCAGAGTAAAAAGAGGATCGAGGACAGTCAAGGGGTTTTGGGCTTAGGCCACAGTGGAACGCTTGGAATGGAACGGGCGGTTCACGCTGCAGGACTCGCTTCGAGCACCTTCGGCGGTAGATCACTCATAACTTCCTCAATTCTTAACGCCTTTGCCGAAGGCAAAGGCGTTAAGAATTGAGGAAAAGCTTGATCAAGCATCAACCCTAAAAGCATTGATCAAGCTTTTGCCGAAGGCGCCGAAGACATTGGCGTTGGTACATCCGACTACGCGATTCTTCGTGACCTCGTGATGATCTCATCAATCCACTCTATTTAACGTACCCTTTGCTAACTACAAACACTGCTTCGGTACTAGTTTTCTAAAATTGTTTAAATTCTGCAAAAAAAACAAAAAGTGTGTTACCACAGGAAGGAATTTCATTTCTCTATATAACGCTGAAGAAGAACAGCCAGTTCAAGGCATTGAACTGCATGACCTCGATGCAATAAACTGCATCGAGATCCACATGGTCTTTCTAGGTTGCAGCTATCTGAAGTAAAGAATGACTCAGATCATCAGAGAAGATCATTTCAAGAACTCAAGCGATCATTTCTCGATAGCGGACACGCACGTCCTATGTGTTTGGCAAACTCTCCTGCAGCTGCATATAGGATACTCTGGATTGACCAAGGGATTGGGAATGGACCTATTTTAGTCCTCCAATTTCTTAACGTCAGCCCACTAGTGGATATCTCGATATTGTTTATTCATGTGCTGGACACTGGACTTGACTTTTGACAAGGATCCTCCGAGGGTCTTCCAGATCACAGACTATCGAGTTCTTCAAAGGTCGTCGATAAGCCGCGTCCAGAATGCATTTGTTTGTGAGTGAGATGTATAGTAGAGCCCAGATGACAAGCCTAATCGCAGTTGTAGCGAGGATTCCGGGAGGAATTAAGAATGCTCGCCAATGATTTATTTCATTAAAAAAGGCTTCGAGCAATGCTCATGTGGGTCCCGATTCTACCTGTTGCATATACCAATTTCAATACTTTACACTGATCTCTCACGCAAGTTCAGAACTTTCGGTGGTATAAAAGGATCAGGAGTGATCGTTCAAAGCATATCTGCGATCTCATCGCTGGGATTTAGGGTGAAGATTACTTCCTCCTATCTCAGATCGCCATCCTTATAGCAGGACTATCTCGAAGGCTGGAGTACATCTAAGATATCAGACCGAGTGCACTCTGCTCTCGAATTCTCCTATACAAAAACATTTTTCTTTCTCGAAGTTTCTGGATCCTCAGTTTTACGATGGGTTTCAGCTTGAGGCCACGATTTCTGATTCATATTCTTGTCATCTCACTTACAGCGTCTAGCATCATCAATGTCGCCCAGGGACAATCCATAGCAGACGAGTACCTCACTCCGCACAATGATGCCCGAGCTGGGCTGAATCAAGGCATACCGAGCCTGTCCTGGGACACCACGCTGGAATCGTATGCTACTGACTGGGCCGCCACCAGAGCAGCTGCTGGTGACGACTGCGCTCTCATACACTCTGGAGGACCTTACGGGGAGAACATCTA